CGCCGGGGCTGGCTCCCGTGTCGGCTCCGGCCCCGCGCGCCCCCTGAGCGTGTCCTGGTGATATTTCTGTGCTTGTGGGAAACATTATTCACGTGTTTGCAGTCGCACCTGTTCCGACTTTTGACAGAAACTCCAAAATAAAGAGTCTGTGTAAAGACACTGCTGCCTCCCTCCCTTCCTTCCTTCCTTCCTTCCACCCCCAGGGGAGGGCAGGGACCAACGCCTGGGGGCCCCCCACTGCAGGCCTCCATGCAAGCTGGAGCTGGGACTCGAACTCATGGCTCATGGGGTGCAGCCCTGGGCACCTCTCTGCCCCCTGCTGGCAGCCCCACGGGGTGTGCCATTGCCCCAGTGGAGGGACACCCACCAGAGTCCTAATGGTACAGTCCACTACCCCCATCCAGAACCCTAATGGCATGGTTCATTATCTCTGTTCCCTCCATCCTGAATATTAGTGGCACAGTCCACTCCCTCTGTTCTCCCTATCCAGGAACCAGTGGGACAGTCCATTATCACTGGACACCCCCCGTCGTGAGATCCAAATGGCACAGTTCATTATCCCTGCTCCCCATCCAGACATCCAAATGGTGCAGTCCATTATCACTGCCCTCCTATCCAGGGGCCCGATGGAACAGTCCATTATCACTGCCCCCCCATCCAGAGACCCAAATGGTGCAGTCCATTATCACTGCCCCCCTCATTCACTCCCAAGCGACTCATCAATTCCCCCCAGCAGAGCCATAGTGGAACAGCCCCAAGGAACAAACCGTTCTGTCTGCTCCCCCCACCCCCCGTCCCAATGGAACACTCCCATTGTCCCGCTTGTCCAATCCCCGACCGCAGCGATGACGCCACCCCAGCCCGGCTGCAGATTGGGGGGCGGGCTCACCCTGGGAACGCTCGACAGCCATTGGTGCTCAGTCTCCTTCCGGAACGTGATCAACAGGCGCCCCTAGCCAATGAAGAAGCGACGAGAGGGTTGGGCTCGGGCTGGGGCCGCGCTGCCACCG